CCATGTATCCAGCAGGTACCCAGTAAATCCTGGGAATAGCCCTGAGCAGGTCATTATGACACTGATCCTTTATGAGTGTTGGTTGTAGCAGTGCCCCTCCAATGTGGCCCTTGCAGAAGGTGGTGGAGCGCTTTGGCAGAGACTGCTCCAAGCCAGCCGGCGAAGACGTGGCCGAGCGTGTCTTCCTGACTGCGGAGGGCCTCATCCGGGTCACCTACCACCTGGAGGACGACCGCATCATCCCCGCACAGCGCAGCTTTGCCAAGTTCCAAGAGTGGCCCCCATCCCAGAGGCAGCAAGTTTTCAGCCCCGACATGGTCTCCACCTTCCTGGTGAGCGAGAGCGTTCACTCCTGTCTAATGCTGTACTACAGGACACCAGGACTCTGACTGAGACGGGTCATAATGTCAAAGATACAGGTACTGCATAGAGATAGAATAACATGCCTCTGATTAGTACTACTGTAGCAGCATCTGCAGGCAGATCCAGTGCAATGCCGTGACGGTAGCCCAAGGTTAACTTACTGCTGCCTATTGTTAAGTTTGTCTTGGTGCCTCTGCCCATATGAGCTGTGTTTCGGGGGCTCCTTACACTGCAGGTGGACCCATCTGAGAAGCCGTGTACGAACCAGTCTCTGTACAACATGCTAGTGTCCCTGATGAAAGAGGAGGACAGGGTAACACAGGAGATCAGGAGCTCGTCAAAAGAGGTACGCAAAGAGCAGCGGCTTTCCCAGCCCGTTCTCTGTCGCCACCCAAAGTTGCTTCTCTGAGGAGCGTGTGCGTGTATCCTTGTGTTCCACTGTGTGCTGTGTGAATACCTGTGTGTCTCCAGGTCAGAGACATCCTTGCACTCCGCAAGAAGGAGGAGAGTAACTGTGAGCTCCGGATCTCCATCTATAGCACAGCCTGGAGTGAGGAAGCTCGCCGCTACAGGGAGGAACTGGTGAGGGCGCCCTCTACTGACCCCCCAGAGAAAGCATGTTGCTAGTCGCACTCATATTTATTTCTTTACCTGCTTCCTTTCTGTGTTTGCGTGCGCCTTTCTCCTCTTTCCTCCTCTCCTAGGAGCGTGTAGCTAATGAGGAGCGCTTGTGGAAGGAGAGGAAGGGGGTGGATGAACTGGCGCCACTTTTGGCTAAACTGGGGAACCCCGAGCATCTGACGCGTGAGGAGGCAGAGCAGCTGAGGAAGGAGTGCCTGGCCAGCCTGAAGGAGCAGCTGGTCTACAGAGCCAATTTGATCCAGGAGCGCTTCCAGAAGGTACCCAAGTCACAGGGGCTGTGCCCAGTTTGCTGCTCAGTCTGGAGTCTTCATACCTATTTACAGAGAAAGCCTTGAGACTCAGACCTTAAAATTGGGACAGTGTAAATTGGGACTTTGCCATCTTGCTCATTTGACTTCCTCTGCCAGCCCCTGGAGGATGGGCTCCCCCTTTGAGTCTGGTTAGGGTTAGGGCTTCCTCTGCTGCCCCCTGGAGGATGGGTTCCCCCTTTGAGTCTGGTTAGGGTTAGGGTTAGGGTTAGGGCTTCCTCTGCTGCCCCCTGGAGGATGGGCTTCCCCTTTGAGTCTGGTTAGGGTTAGGGCTTCCTCTGCTGCCCCCTGGAGGATGGGCTTCCCCTTTGAGTCTGGTTCCTCTCAAGGTTTGAGTTTTTCCTTCCCACTTGCTCACCAGGAGCTTTGGTCGGGATAATGCAAAACGCTTTGTGACAATGTAGTGTTGTGAAAATGCGCTATACAAATAAAATTGAGTTGAAAAATTGAATAAAGAGAATCTGTTCAGTGAATCAGCCATGAGAAAGTTCAAAAAGACATCAACAGCTAATCTAGAGGCTTTGTCAGCTCAGAGTGTCAGTGTCAGAGTGATTCTTAATAGTACCAACTGGCGCTGGTGCTATGTGCAGGAGACCCAGCAGCTGCGGCTAAAACAACAGTGGTACCAGCAGAACCAGCTGTCCATGACCCAGGAGGAGAAGGAGGCCTACATGTCCTACTGCTCCAGTGCCGTGCTGCGCATCAAAGCGCTGAAGCTGCGCCTCGGCAGGTACCCAGGGGGCGCTATACTGCCATCACGCCTCCTTTAATGCCACTGCTAGCATTTTGAAGAGTAGGTTTACTCAGACCCTCACATATTTACCACGCCGGCCACCCACTCCCTTTTCCCTACACCAACTGGTCACGTTGACCCACAAATTATACACCACGTCTCCCCGACTCTCTTTCCAAATTTCATCAGCAACACTGCATCAGAAAAAAATTATTTAATAATTTAAACCAACAATAAAGGATTTAAACCAACAACCTTATGGGCATTCCAGCTTTGTGATCGCTATGCCAACTAATGACACATATGATCTATTCTTCGGTTAATATCCACCTACTTAATATTGATCCTGGCTGGTCCAGCAGGTGTCCAGCCTGCTCACTATTCTCACTTAACACTTGATGTGGCCTGCAGTCCTGACTTCCCGATCTTCATCGCTATGTCACCATCATTGCTATGTGTTCTGTTTTAGGCATAAAGACTACGCCCCGCAGAAGTACCTGATGCTGGACGAGAAGCTGAGAAGAGATCCCAGACTTAGCAAACATCTGTGCTGATACGTGGAATCACTTTAGCTTCTCCTACCCTGATAACACAAAGTCACACATATTCAAACCTGTCAGTCGCACTGCATCTGTAACAGCTAGTTTGGGCTGAAAATTAAAAGTTGATTAAAAGTTAATTCATAATAATAATGATGATAGTAACAATAATAACAATAATCATGATAAGGGCTCCCTGCCATGAGTTGGCACCCCGTCCTGGGATATTCCCTGCCTTGCACCCATGGCTTCTGGACTAGGCTCTGGACCACTGTATCCCTGTACAGGACAAGTGAGTATGGAGAATGGATGGATGGATAATAACGCAGCACGATGGTACAGTGGTGCCGCATATTTCTGGGGACTACGGTCGAGTCTCGGCCCTGGCTCTATGTGTGTCTCAAGTTTTATTTGTTTCATACACTGTAATACTGTGTAGTGAAGCACTTTCTGGGAATGTGCTTGAAGGAAGTATGCAATTCAAAGGAAAATAAAACAGTATAAAAAATAAGAATAAAATAACAATCAAAATAAAATAACTACAAAATAAGCAATAACAATAGGGAGTATGTCCACAGTAGTAAAAGGGTGTGAAATTGCAGTATAGTGTGATAAAAGTGCAAAAAATGACTTGTTAGCTGTGGATTGTCCTCGTTCGGGATGCGGACGACCTGAGGGTGGAAGCTGTTCCTCATTCTCTCCTTTCTGGCCTTCAGACTCCAGAAGCGCTTCCCTGACCACAGCAGCACGAGGAGGCTGTGACTTTGCAAGTTCTCCCCGTATCACTGTAGGTCAGGGGTGTCAAACTGCAGTCCTGGGGGGCCGGAGCCCTGTGTAGCTTAGTTCTTTCCCTGTTCCACCACAAATGATTTAGCTTATGAGCTGTGTGGTAATTAGCACTAAGGATCTGAATCAGGTGTGTTAAATGAGGGTAAACCAAAAACTGTGCAGGACTGTGCTGCAGTTTGACACCCCTGCTGTAGGGTGTTCTCTGAGTTTTCCAGTTTCCCCCCACAGTCCAAAAATATACTAAGGTGAACTGGAGTTGCCACATAGCCCGTAGTTATGAATGTGTGTGTGAATGGTGTGTGTCCCCTGCCTTGGGTTGATGAACCATCCAGGGCCAGCGACCAAGCCAGACCTTTTATAATGGGGTGGCCAGACTGGGACCAATGATTTTGCTGGGGTGGCAGAGGAATAAAATGCAATCCAAAGAAGCTGAAAATGTGGTGAAAATAACAAATATTACAATATGCATAATCTAATTAACAAATACAGACACTCCTCATTTAATGACCTACCTGTTTAACGACTGCCTGGACTTACAACTAGCTCTCCGACCAGTCGGTATTGTGCACTGTACGAGAACTTCGGTCATGGAAATGGCTATTCTATTGTTTGTTCTGGTCTCTGATTTATTGAGAGGCAAATTGCGGCAGCCAGGAGCCGAATGCCGAGTGGGGGGGGGCAATGTGGGAGGGGTTTATAACTGTTATCATCTGATACCCAGGCAGACTCTGTGGTTCTATTTCAAAGAAAGAAAAAAAAAAGAAATTTCACTTGTTTAAATCTCAAACATTGTTTGACACGATGTTTTTGTGATTTTATTGTTAACACCAAATGTTATCTATACTCCAGTTTTTATATTTTAAAACCATTTATTGAAACCCAACCCTAATAACATATAACATTTATGTTCCATCCAGAAAAAAACAACTTCAAAATCATAGCACATGTTAGCCATACTTGAATCGTGTTGTTTGTGTTACCTTGTGTTAACTAATAATGTACCAGATAAGGAACTGAATAAATTCAGTTTTATGCCTTCAAGACAATCTAACATCGAAAGAGTTTAACCATCGTATGTGTTGAGGTCAAAATGGGGCCAGGCTGTGTTAACTTAAGTATATGTGATGAAGATGTGTGGCTACGATGGGCTGAGTATCCTTTTGAAATTGAAATTTTCATTTAATAAATCAATTCTAAGGTTAAAAGTTTGATTTTTTAGCCTGGCAATTAAAATATTTATGTCATTGTAGGGAGCCAGACATGAACATGTAACCTGCAGGGCTGCCCATATAGGGAGAGGAAGACTTTCGTTGGTTTCGGTGACATAACTGAACATAACTGGATTGGTTTGAGTTGGGAATCCAATACGATATGTTTTCAAGGCGTTACGAAATTCATAGCGGCAGTCCTGCATAGGACAAGCTGGTATGGAAAATGAGTGGGGGGTGGGTGTCGGAGTGTGTGGTCCGTCACGCCGACAGGTGGCGCCAAAGCTAAGTATCCGTGTTCTTTGTTGTATCTTCTCTGACGGAACTCCCGTCATCGCCTCTGTAGCGCTAATAGTGGCGTAAAAGCTTCCGTAGTGGAGCTTTCATACAGTGCCGCGTCTGATTGTAGCCGCTCACAATGGTACAGCTGGTGGGGTCCCTTCGTAAAGAGCTTGCCGATTCGGTGTCGTCCTGCAAAGTGCTGGTGGTCGGCGCCGGGGGCATCGGATGCGAGCTGCTCAAAAATCTCGTCCTCACCGGCTTCAAAAACATTGAAGTGGTAAGAAAGACGAGGAAAAAAGGGGGTGCACACTTTTTTCGCCTGCCTTTGTACCCGAAAGGCCTATCCAGCGGTATCGGGTAATCAGGCGGGCAGATTTAAGATTGTGTGACTTTGTGCGGTGCAAAAGCGGCTCTTTGCGAGAGGGAATGCGTGAGTGTGATTTAAAAGCGAACCCGTAGCTGCAGCTACGTGCATTGCCCGAGCTTTGTCTAAAGCCCCCTTACAAGCCTCTGGTACCCTGCACGGCTACCACTAACACTTTCATGCGATGTCGCATACGCCGCTAGTCCTTGATCGTTGCATTGCTGTCATACCAGATGACAGCAGACGTGCGTGTTTTTGTCCCCTGATCGTCCGCACCACTGCTGCCCTTGCCCGAACATTTACCCGCCAGCCGGTCTCTCTGTATGGGAGGGAAAAGGAGCGCAAAAACCGGTGACGTTTTACACACATTTGCGGCGTCGTCGGTCTGCATGGAGATGGAAACTCGGGGCATCGAAATGTTCTTTTAGTGTCCTACAGATGCATAAGTTTGCACCTGTAATATTTACTGAAGGGCTTAAAGAAGGCGTGAGCAACATTTTACCATATACTTTTCACGAATTAAAACTCCCAGTTTATCTTAGACCAGCTTTTAGTAATGAGCGTAAGCTATGAATTTTGAATTGGGACTTATTTTTGCTGTATATGTAGCGGGCTAAGTGTCCAGTATGCCCGTTAAATGAAGCGCTGATTTACAACACAATTTTGGGGGTGTGTGTGTTAGGTTTGCGGTTGCACGTGTGATCGCTGATAACTAACTGACCGCCTACAGATCGACCTGGACACCATTGATGTCAGCAACCTGAACAGACAGTTCCTCTTCCAGAAAAAACACGTGGGGAAGTCTAAAGCTCAGGTAAGGAGAGTATTTCGTTTTCTCTTTTATCTTTTTGTTCCTGCAAACAGTCTAAATTTTGTTTTGTGTTTAGTTTGCATTTTATTGTATAATATAACAGTCGATGATGTTTTTAATGTCTGTGAAGCGTGTGGTTTGGTGCCTGTTCTGATAGATGTTTTATGTTTTGCTCTGTTTGTTGTGTAATATTGCTGTCTCCACTGTTGCGCTCAGTGTGTAACGTGTGTGTTGTTACGGCTAACCTGTTGTAGGTTGCTAAGGAGAGTGTACTGCACTTCTGTCCTGATGCGAACATCACGTCCTACCATGACAGCATCATGAAGTAAGTCAGCTGCCTTGTGTGCATACGGTTGGATACTGGTTTTGTTTCTGACGTCAGTGTGGTCTGTGTTTTATGTGTTTATATCCACAGCCCTGATTACAATGTGGAGTTCTTCAGGAATTTCACACTGGTCATGAACGCCCTGGACAATCGAGGTATGGGGCGCTCGCCATCCTTTCCCTCCCCGGCCGTTAAAGTTCACCCTTGCTTCATCCATCCCTCTGTTCTGCTCGCTTACTCTCATCACTGCCGCCTTGTCCTGCCCGTCTCGTCCCCCTGTGTCTTGCAGCGGCCCGTAACCATGTGAACAGGATGTGCCTGGCGGCAGACATCCCGCTGATAGAGAGCGGCACGGCAGGGTACCTGGGCCAGGTGACGGTCATCAAGAAGGTGAGTCTTGACTCCAAATCCAATCAGCACACGTAGCTCAGTCTGTGCCAGCACAGTGGGTCACGCTGTCTGCACCCTGCAGTGGGCTGGTGTCTCTCCCCCAGGGGTCACCTGCCCCCTGCCCTTGTGCCATGACCCTGTAGTAGATGAGCAGTTGTAAGATGGATGGGGCCCTGTCTGCGTATTTAGAGCACAGCAGTTTGTGTATAGAATACAACAGAATACAGAAGCTTTCTTAATCCTCATGGGAAAATCTCTTTTCACCTACTCAGTCTTGCGCTCTATGAAAGACACAGACACATGTACTGGTGAGAGGGTAAGTTTGGGGTCACAGCGTCGAGTCAGCCAGCGTGCAGTGCTGGAGCTGGGGGTTAAGGGCCCTGCTCTGGGGCCCAATTGTGGTATCAGTCTGCCGGCCTCGGGATTCAAACTAGCGACCTTCCAATCATGGGCACAGTCCTCAGCCGCTGTACCACACACTGCCCCCCCAGAATGAGACTCAAGCTCCCAGCACTATAGCTGTAAGGCAGCAGTGCTGGCTGCCCTCGTGAATGACTGTTGCGGTTAGCGGGCTAGCGGTAGCTGGCAGAGTGTCACCCTAACCCCACTGCTGTGCTCATGTCCCTCACAGGGTCTCACCGAATGCTACGAGTGCCAGCCGAAGCCCACCCAGAAAACCTTCCCAGGATGCACCATTCGCAACACCCCCTCCGAGCCCATCCACTGCATCGTGTGGGCCAAATACCTCTATAAGTAAGAGCTTGGATGCTGTTGGGTGCAGCTGTCCAGTGTGTAGGACATAGCATTTCCCGGAAAGGCAGTCGGTCAGAGAGTGTGTGTCCTGTATAGTCAGCGTGCAGCTCCTCCGTAAAGCCTGCGATGAAGCATAGAGGTTTCTCTGTTTACCTGAGAGTTGCAGTTTACCAGCATGAGTGATTTGAAATATCATATGTATTGAGCAGTTGTGTTTAGGGCCTCTGCTGCTTCTTCGTGTGAGCGTGTGTCATGGTTTCATATTCTGAACCGGTCATGTAGGTTAAATCTCACAATTAGTCACTCACTTAGACTAATTGGTGTCTTTAAATTACCCGTAGTGAATTGCTGTACGTGTCCTGATATGACCTTCCACTCCATCCAGGGATTTCCCTGTTTGCCTGGGACAGACTCCAGGTGGCTCTTAATAGCTGGTTTGAGGATGGAGGGATCTACTTGAGGATATACGGCGTTATTTTTAAATGGGCTATTTTCGACTTGTGCAAAACGAGAAGTTACTGTAATGACTGTTGTGGCCCCAGGAGAGAGTATGAGCCAGTGTCTTTGTCTGTATGCCCACGTGGCGTTTCTCTAAGGAGGCGCTGACCTGTGAGCTGTTGCTTTCCTGTCTTCTGCAGTCAGCTCTTTGGAGAGGAGGACGCTGACCAGGAGGTTTCCCCGGACACTGCCGACCCCGAGGCCTCCTGTGAGCGCATGTCCCACCCGGCCGAGCACTAGCACGCCGTGTCGTACAGGCAAGGGGGGGGTCCATGCTCTAACATCCCTGTCCCGTTCCCAGGGGACCCTGCACAAAGTGCCGCAAGAGCAGAAGCGTCCAACCAGGATGGAGACATCAAGCGCGTGTCCACCAAGGAGTGGGCCCGCTCCACCGGCTATGACCCCATCAAGATCTTTAACAAGGTGGGTGCCCACCGCCCTCGCCCTCTCTCGCTGCCAAGGATGCCATCTAAAAGGCCGTCTCTGCGGCTCTCTGCATCTGCAGCTCTTCAAAGATGACATCATGTATCTGCTGACGATGGACAAGCTGTGGAAGAAGCGTAAGGCCCCACAGCCGCTGAACTGGGCCAACGTGCAGCAGATGGGTGAGCGGGACTCTACCTCGTCCGCTTTTCTCTGACCCCCACTTGTGCTGTGAAGCTGACAGTAGTGGGGCACCTGCTGCGCCTTTTTAAAGCGAGTGACGTTTTTGAAGCTATGGACTGTAAGCTCCCTTCGTTATTCCCTCCCGTCAGTCTGTGCCATCTGTCTGAAGTGACCTCATTGTGACCGTGTTGTGGCACCCTCTTCAGGATGCCCTTCCCACTGCATGTTTTGTCCGGCTTGCTGCCTGTGTCACCTACGGTGGTGGGGCTCCACCCTGATGCTCTGAGGATTTGCGTGTGTGACACGAATGACACGTCCCCCCTCCCTCCATGATGCAGCGTGCTCCCAGGAGGAGGCGTCGGGGCCCGGCCTGCGGGACCAGCAGGTCCTGAGTGTCAGGGGCCACTCCCAGCTCTTCTCCAGCAGCGTGGAGACTCTGCGTGCTCAGCTGGCCGAAAAGGGCGAGGGGGCCCAGCTGGTGTGGGACAAGGTGAGGCCTGGGGAAGCTGTCAGGGTCTCAGACGTAGTGGGAGAGGGAGGCTACGATGGGCTGAGTATCCTTATCCTCCAAGGGGAGCTGATGGAATGTTTACTGCACTTTCCCCTTGGTTTCATGGCTGCAGGGATTGTTAAAGACTTATTTTTGGTTAGTTTGAATGTGTTCTAGGTTTAGCATATTATATTTGAGTATGTAAACTCTATGTAAGTGCTTCTGTCCCCCTTATTACTATGGGCTGTTGTTACAGTGGCTTTAGCGTAAAAGTCCGTGTCTGACATTTCTGTCTTGCTCACGATTGACAGGACGACCCCCCAGCAATGGATTTTGTGACTGCGGCGGCCAACCTGCGTATGCACGTCTTCAGCATGAACATGAAGAGCCGCTTTGACGTTAAGTGTGAGTGGGGGTTGGGACCCTGAAGTGGGGGTGGGGTGGGGGGGGGGTGGCTGGCTGCTCCTGTGCCTGATTGTCACCTTCTCTCTCCAGCTATGGCAGGGAACATTATCCCAGCTATTGCCACTACCAACGCCGTCATCGCTGGCCTCATCGTGTTGGAGGCGCTGAAGATCCTATCTGGCGAGCTGGAGCAGTGCCGCACGGTGTGGACACCCCCCAAACACCATAACCTCAGATCTCAGATTACATACCGATGTGGCTCCCTAACCACTGCGCCACCTGCTGTGCCCCAGGTGTTCCTGAACAAGCAGCCCAATCCCAGGAAGAAGCTCCTGGTTCCTTGTGCCCTGGACCCACCCAACGCCAACTGCTACGTCTGTGCCAGCAAGCCGGAGGTCACAGTGCGGCTCAACGTGAGCAAGACCCTGGTGCTCAGCCTGCAGGATAAGGTGTGGGTCTCGCTTCAGCCAATTCCGCCACCTTACATCTGCCATGATCACCACTAACATTTCAGAGCATCGGTGCAGCATGTGGACAGAGGAGAGGTGTTCAGGTGTTGAGTTTCAGTGGGTAGGGCAGTAACACTATATGCTAAATACTACAGTCCACCTTCTGTAATATTGGTTCTCTTTCGTCAACCACACACTCACACATGGGTGACAGTTGCCTTATCCCATAAAAAACATGCCAACCTGCATTTCTCCCCTCAGAAGGGGTGCTGTGTGATTGGTTAATATTTCCTTGTTAGGTGAGCCGTGTTTAATGTCCAACCCTCCTGTCCAAACTTTGTACACGTAATTTCACATTTATCTGCGAAGTTATATTTTGATTAAAAATGGTATTTTAAAGCACTTGGCCCAGGAAATATACCAGTTTGGAAGGTGATAAACATTATGGTTTACTGGTTTGCACTGTTGTATGCCTCAGATATTGAAAGAGAAGTTCGGCATGGTGGCACCAGACGTTCAGATCGAGGATGGAAAGGGAACCATCCTTATCTCCTCCGAGGAGGGGGAAACTGAGGGTCAGGCTTCCTTCTCTTTAATTAATAATATGACTATTGTCCAGCAGAGGGTGCTGTGTCCTTGGTTCAGCCAGATCTACTTCAGAATATATATATATATAACAGAAAATCTCTTGAATCTGCAGGAAATAACAGCAGGTGCCTATCCGAGTTTGGCATCCGTAATGGGAGCCGGCTGCAAGCGGATGACTTTCTGCAGGACTACACACTCCTGGTTAACGTACTGCACTGGTGGGTGTGCGCATTTGTGCCCATGTGACTGTTTTCATGGGTGCATGGGGATAAACGCTGTCTGGCGTGTGTCTTTAGTGAGGACCTGGAGAAGGATGTGGAGTTTGAGGTGGTGGGTGATGCTCCAGAAAAAGCACCTGCACCCAGCGCCCCTGAGGAGGCCAAGAACATTGCTAATGGCAACCAGGACTCAGCCCTGCCTTCCACTTCTTCTAAGGGTGAGTGACAGTCACCCAGCTTTGCTGTCCTTTTACCCTCTTCTGGGGCTCATTTGCCTGGTGGGTCTAGTATTTCTGTTGACAAGCCGGCATGTAGGGGTGAGACTGTCTCTGTGAACCTCTGTCCCGACCAGCCCCCGCCGAGCAGGATGACGTGCTCATCGTGGATTCGGATGAAGAGCCATCTTCAAGTGCCACGGATGTTGCTGCAGAGCCTGGAGGACACAAGAGGAAGCTGCAAGACGCGGAGACTGGGGAGGGCAGGTCGAAGAGGAAGCGGCTGGAGGAGCCCGCCACCTCCGCTGATGACGACATTATCGCGCTGGACTAGTGAAGTCTGGCCCCTCCCCCTGCTGGGTGGGGCTCATCCATTGCTGTTTTCATACTCCTCCTGCCGAATGTCTGTAAATATATGTGTACAAAAAAAAAAAAACTGTTAAAAGCTTCAGGCTTGTGTTTGTTGGGTTTTCAATAGTGTCAGGGAAAAGGACCACAGAGGGCGCCATTTCAGAAGGAAAAATTTCAGAAATTTTCTGAAATTTCAGAGGCCTTTGTAGGCTTACTTACACTCAACTTTGTGTTTCACCAGAAGTACACAGAAAGAACACAGACTTGACTGCAACTCGGCCTGTATTTTTATTAGACACTTGCCTACAAGTTCTTCTGATTGGTATTTTTAAATGGTTATTTGGATCCAGTGTCTGAAATGTTTCTTAAACCAGACACGTCCTCCACATCTCTCAATGTGAACAGGTTCTCAATTTGCTTGTCCAGTTGTGAAAGTGACATTTTGCAGACTTTTTTTTTTTTCCTCTTTTTTTTTTGATTGATGACTGATAAGTATGTATTTGGATACAGTTTGAGCAAATTGTGAGCATATGTAGTTGGTATTATTTATACTTTTATAGATCTGTTTAGGCACATCCATACTGTACGTTATTTGGACCAAATACGACTGAATAAAAGCTCCGAGGCTCAACGGACATAACTGATGTATTACCCAAAGCGTATTCATTTTGTTAAAAAAAAAAAAAAGAGCACCCCCAAAGGGAACGCGTTTAATCTTATGCGCCGTTGCCTCATAGGTAGCACCTTCCGTTTTGCGTTTTGGCAATGTCATTGTGAACGCGTCTGTAGACGTGTAAGAAGAAGCCAAGCTCGTGAAGAATAGCTGTTCTTGTCTGGGTTAGGTGATGACCCTTGACAATCAGGCTCCTTCACACTAAACCCACAGCCGTTCTGGGTACGACCCATGCTGACAGCTCTCCATCTGCAGATTTCTAGGGTGGTGGGGGGGGGGTTAGTGTTTCCAAAAGCTCTGGATTAAAATCGGTTCACATAAATGGGAACAGCTACCTCTTAGAAGTTTGTTAGATCTATGCTTCATTTGTTAACTAAGTATATTACATCTATTTAAATTGCGCAAGCTATTGCATCTATTCTTTCACTCATTGTAGGGGCACTAGTAGAGGTTACGTACTTCAGTCTTGTATGTTTCAATAATTATGCTTAAATGTTAAAACCTGGATGGAAAAAAACGGCTCTAGTATAATCTTGATAATATATATATATACAGGTGCTGGTCATATAATTAGAATATCTTCAAAAAGTTTATTTCACTAATTCCATTCAAGAACTGAAACTTGTATAATGTATACATTCATTCCACACAGACTGATATATTTCAAGTGTTTATTTCTTTTAATTTTGATGATTATAACTAACAACTAATGACTAACTGCAGATGTTGAGAACGGCGTGCTTGCTATTCTTTTTTATATTAACCCAGCTAAGTGAAATGTCCTGCTTCACAGAACACCCTCCTGTACCTCACCTACACAATACGAAGCAACAGGCTGTTTTTAATTTAAAGAGACACAGCTAACCGCCATACTGAACGCCACAGACGACGTTCTATGCGCGCCCACGCATGCGTCTGACATCATCACGGCCGTCAAACCGTCAACCAGCTTGCGACGAACTGTTGTTGACTGTGTAAAGAACAATGGTTACAGGTTAACGAGAAACCATATCGAAAATAGGATGAAAGGTGAAGGGCTATGAAATGCATGAAATATGCATTTTTATGCACTTTTTTCTTCTTTCATTTTTGTCTTGTCACACATGTTAACCAGGGGGACCACTGTATTCTGAAGAGAATACAGATCCCAATCTATTTCTATGGACAAATCTATAGATAAAAAAAATACATTTTAAAAAGAAATATATATAATATAGAAATCACATTGTACCATATAATCATATAAATATATACAATACAATATACACAATGGAAATGTAGGCTAAGTGAAAGATTATTTCCTTTTCAGAGAAATGTTCTTTATTCAGTTGAAAATTTTCAACATTTTTAAATACAATGGTATATTGTTTAATCATAATCGAAATAATATCTTTGCATATGAAAAAAATGGTTTTATCTTTTTCAAACCATATACTTAAAAATATTTCTTTTTATGCTGAATATCCCTTTTTATTCCAAATAGTATTTATGTGGGGGGAATTTGTTGGCCAGTATCTAGGCCAGGAAAACTTGTTAATGAGATTTTGCCAGCTAAACAGCCATGTTAACAAGTGAATAACTACATTTCAAGAGGAATTCAAGGCCACCCATAAAGCAAACTTAGTAAGGAACATGCTATCTTTCTCCGCTAAATAATAAGTGATCCATTTTATATTGAATACATTGTTTAAGGTTTCACAAGGAAGAACTGGGCCACGATTATCTTTCATATTACATAATACTTACTTTTTCAAATAGTGCAGTTCTCCAGATGAAATCAAAGACCATTTGATCAAGTTATTTTTTTCTTAAGAGGACCCTAAGAGTTTGTAAAGCTGTCATCGAGGTAAGAGGTGAGTGTTTTTGATTTGTTCAACAATATTTTGGTCACTGCTTAGTTTTGAAGTCTTCACATAAGTCATCTCTAGTGTTGAAAGTCTTCATTGTTACCCTGAAATGCAAAAAATAGTAAACAAGAAGGAGAACACTCCCTCTACCAAACTTTTGACTGGTAGTATATTTTTGAAAGCTATTCAGGCATTATACAATGTGGCAGCTCTGCAGAACCATTTCATAGGACTTGTAAAAGATTCAAAACTTATTTCCTTATTTTTGTTGTTAATGACCTAGAATATCTCTATGTGTTAAAAAGGATGTGCTAACAGAATTACAGCTGTAGGAAAATAATTACAATTTTGTGAATTTGCAAATGGTACATGATTTCTGAAGGATCCGAATGAAGTTACAAAGGAAGTTACATAAAAAAAAACTCTCAGACATGTAAGTTAAAAATGAATGTTAATAAACCTGTTGTGTTTTCACTCAAAGATTGTAAAAAAGTAGGGCATCAGTTAAAAGCACTCAGACATACCTTGGAACGCCATTGTGTAAATACAAAAATGTGATTTTGATCTGTTATTTTGACACAATTACTGATAAAACTGAAAATAAATTTAACATGTAGAAATCCAATAATGAATTTAAGAGTCATTTTGTCAAAGACTGAAGGGATTTCAATACCAGCCTATGTATCCCCAATACTTTAACAGCTTGTAAAAATTTGATCAAATGCTCTTTGATTTAATCTGGAGATTAAAACGGCACTATTTGAAAAAGTAATCATTGTGTAATATCAAAGGTAATCATGGCCTAGTTCTTTGTCATGAAACCTTAAACGGATTACTTATTAGTGTGTTTCAATTTCTCAACTACAATTTTGAGAATAGGGCCCATTTTGTCAAAACATTACAGACAACCACACACCGAAGTATCAGAACACCTCAGATCTTTTTCAAAATGAAACACTTCAGTCAAAACTATAAAATTATTTATAAAAACGTGATTTTGTGATCATATTGCACGCATGAGTCATAGACCTAATTCTGTTTGAATGATTACACACTACTGTGCTCAACTCAAAACACTTTTAGCATTTCTACTTTCCTAATGATCAAAGTACACAGAGAAAGTACAAAAATAAATTCACCAAATACTCCACAAGACGAATTCTGTAGACTGATGAAAATATTTATTTACTGTATTTCTCTCCATATACTCAAGACAGTCAATACTGAACATTAGAACAAAACACATTCAGAACAAAACATATCCCAGTTTTCATACTACCACTGTACATACCACTGTATCTCAGCAGACACATTTGGAGAGACAAAAGTATAAATTACTGTATCTAGTACAGTTTTTAAAAACCTAGCTGGATCTAGCCATAGGACTTTGTCAACATTGCGGACTATATTCTCATTTGCAAGACAACATGGGAACTTTCTTGAATGTCGAATCCATCCTTGTAACATATGCTGCATCCATTTGATTACAGGCCTCCTCCATGACTTGAATGAGGGGTATCTGGACATAGGGTTGGAGATCGTAAACCTTCCACCGCCATACTGAGAAAAACTCTTCGATGGGGTTTAGGAAGGGGTGGAAGGTGTTGGACTGTAAATTGGGGATGTTACTGAAATCAGTTTTTGAACAGAGGGGATCGGTGGAAAGATACGTTGTATCCCAGGTGACAATGTACTGCATCTGGTTTGCTGCGCCGACAGTGTTGTGTAATCTGTCTAAAACCATGAGAATGAGGGTGGTATTGTAAGAAAAGTCCCTGAAATATGTTTCGTTTTGAACTTCATGTTTTTTGGCTAGAATATCTCTGTCTTATTGTCCTATTGGCCAAAACCAAATTTATGATTGTTCTCTTTTTGTTCTTGTGTGGATATGGGCCCCCTTCCTCCTTGGTGTTCTCGACCCTCCATCCTCTCTAGACCAAACAGAATACATGTAGCCTCATGTAAAATATCACAGGAATTACTACCATAAAGTGCTGATTTATGCATACAGTAAGCTACTGATCTACTGTAGATAGAACACTTGTGTTCTGGACGAAGTGTCCGAACTACTGATGCCACTTTGTATCTGCTGAGATTTGGCTGAACTCTCAGTCCAGCCTCCCACAGTGTTAGTTCATGGTTTATCACGTGGGTGACTAGTGTGGCACAAACTTCTACCTCAGTCTCTATCTTGGCCTCAGCCTCTTCTTCCACTTCCTTCTCTTCCACCACAGCCTCCCCCTTTCATCCTCATGCTCCCTCTGATGCCTTCCATTTTTGGAAGACAACTCACCAGTTGTCTTTTTATAGAGCTTAAACCTGATTGGTGTGTCTACAGTTAATCCCCTACGTGTCTGCACACCTGGTGGTTGTGTTTTACCAATTTGTTCATAGGTATGGTCATTTGAAAGCCACTACTTTGAAATGGCAAGGAAGCGATATCATGATATATGTCTGTGTCTGATGGCGACAAGTGTGTTAGGTGTTTTGCAAATCACTGTGTGTAGTGTTTTGCAAAAAGTGTGAGGCTGACAATTTGAGTAGAGTTGTGCTTTTGGCATTTTTAGTTTTTTGATTGCATTCATATATTTTTATGAAATTGAGTTTCCTTTGTGGGGACAAAGAAAAAATGTCCATACGAGGTAAAAAAAAAGTTTTTATCACATTGAAAGACATCTAAATATCGCATAATCACTTACAATGTGATTACTGTTATGAAAAACAGCCATTTAATTACGTTTCTGGCAGCAAATTTCCCAAAACCAAAGAATTCAATTCCGTTAAATATAAAAGCCATGCTATCGTATGGACCCTCGCGAAAATCGATACATGAATTTGTTATCGCATATATAATATGTTGTAGCCCATGCTCCTTTTAAACGGTGTTTTTTACTGGAACCTGGGGTTGGAAATCGCGCGCACGCATTTGAATGGCAACGAAGGGAACGTGATCAAAAAAGAGGACAGCTGTTATTTATCTATCGAGATACGTCAACATGAGAAGCTGAGAGGGGACACCACATCTACAGTATCAGTAGGGTCAAGATAAGATCGACAGGGGATCAAAATGGTCTATTATTAAACGTAGTATTTATACACAAATGTACCTTGACCAGTATTTAAAACATAACTGTATAATTCTTGTTAATACAATTAAGAGGACTCATGTCAGGATAACGTACCTTACATTTTTCATTGATTCGTGACATGTCACTGGTCTAATGGCTTCCCTATATTAAGGCGGAACGCCCACCCGAAGGGCGCAGCTGATTGGCGGACGTCACGGGATAGGCCGTAGTTGCGCCTTCCCATATTCGATGACGTCTTAGGAATGGCGAAAATATAAATAAATGGTGTTCTCGGCACCCTGGAAAATAACGTAATTTAGACTGTAATTTTCAAGAAACAATAGTTCATTTAGGGAGCTAAATGCGGGTTCTCGTTCCAACCAATAGGCGGGAAATGGAGGCCGACCCCAGAAGGTGGAGCGGCACCTCACTAACTAGGGAGTAATATGAGCCTGCTTTAAAAAAATCTTCAGTCCTCTGACCGGCTGCACGAGCAGACGCCGAAAACAGACCGAGTGCTTAAGCTGCAGTCAAACAATATAATTTTTGTTTTTCTTTTTTGAGAAGAAAGGTGGCTGCGAAGGTATCTGCTTCGGTGTAAACAGCATGGTGGTTCTCAAGGCAGCAGCAGCATCTCTGGGGCGCTGTCTCTTCGGCGCCCTTGCCAAGCCGTCCCAGCGTCGGCGATGGCCGCCCGTCCGGGGCTGCAGTCTCACCGCCAGCTCCAGCAGATTCGTGTTGTCACGAGGTGAGCGACGGCGACTCCGCTTCGCGTTAGTACATGAAGTACCGTCTGCCCGGGACAACACACAGTTACCATCCCAGATCTCACTATATCGTGTATGTTAACAGAGTTTTCTACAGGATCCCAAACATTTATTTCGGAGTGACACAAGAAGAATAAAAGAATTAAACTAATATATGAAGATAAAAGGCTGCGGGACCCTTAACGTAGCCCCTCGCGAACTAGTTTATTCTCTTTCATGATGATGACGACGACAACAACAATAATAAAAATTATAATAATTATATAATTAATGTCATTTTTGGTCAGTGTCGTATGCGTTTAGATGTTTGAAACGACATTTTTATTGCCATCATAGATTTTTAACAGTAAGTAGTTGTATCGGAGTTATTTTCATAATGGTTGCGTGTTGTAGTGTTATTTTTATTCTTAGGAGAAATATGCAGTTCCATTGACTTTAAACATGTTATCACGTAATTACACAATATTATGCTTACCTGTCATTCAACAGGATTGGATTACAGGGCTGATAGTCTTTCCTCCAAACACCTTGCCTTGCTTTTGTCACCTTGCCTTGCTTTTGTTTATATTTTTATGCATCATCTGATGCACAACGATGTGACTGACCTAGTTTGAGTAATTTAGACAAGGTGAAATATGAGAGCAGGATTAGGTGACATTTACATTTATTCATTCATCTTCTTTTGTTTTTTAAAAAAATTAGTTCTAGGTTTAAATTCCCACAGCAGGAACCCAGTGTCGCATAGGCTTAGTTAAGACATTTGTGGGTTGAAACTTAAAGATTTCTCCATCTTTGAGAGGCAAAGTGAAGAAGCTATACTCTGCTCAGCTTACATGCTGGCAGTAAAACGCTGAAATTATGAAGTACATAGCGTTCTGAAATTTACAGTGTGACACAGTGAAGCTACATGCCCTGTTAGACCTGTCAGTAGTGGAATTCTTTCTGGCAATTGGACGCCATTTCGGCTGATTTATTGGTTTGTCTAGCGGAGGCTTGTCAGTGAGGGAGGGCAGTGGTGTGCAGACCTGTGCCCCAGGGCTGGGGAACGAGGGAGCAGGCAGGGGGCAGGGAGGGGTTTGGACACCACCCTGGAAATCTGGGTTAACAGCCCTGCAAAGAATTTAGTGAATAAAAACTGCCGCACCACATCCATGTTTAAATAACAGTCACGAGTCTTACGACGGTGAAGAAATCCCTTCCAGTTACATATTAAAAGTGCATGTATTACTTAAACCTGAAGCACAAATTCAGTTTATGGTCTACTGATCGTTCGTGTTGTTTCAAAATCCTCTTAAGTAATTTCAAGCTAGTGCAAGTATTGCCTAAGGTTTCCTGAACCTCACTAAGCTCACTGAGTGTGCACATTGACACCTCTCTGCCTCTGTCCCCCCCCCCCCCCCACCAGTGCACCCGATGTGGCAGGAGCCCCTGGCCATCCCTGGGGGTGACCGGCAGTCCCCAATCAACATCACCATGCGCAAGAGCATCTACGACCCCCACCTCCAGCCCCTCTCCATTAGATACGACCCCAGGACATGCCAGCAGATCTGGAACAATGGATACTCCTTCCTGGTGGAGTTTGACGACACCACGGACAAATCCAGTGAGTCTACTAGAGTAGAACAGTGAACTTTTGTAATCATTATGTTTGTTAATTTGATAATGAGTTTGTCATTTTAATCTTTACATCTTGGCCTGTGTGCAAGTAACAGAGCTGAACCTATCATCGCTGATTTCCTTTTCTATGCAAGATGATGACTTGTTTTACTTCTCTTTATGCAGTCCTTGTTCTTATTGCAGCATAGCTGTTTTTCTGCTTTGCTACGTGGGATAGGTCCTTGAAAAACAATGACATTGCATGCAGTAACAGTATAAAACACACCCAGACATAAAACATCCAGAGGGCATGTAACAGCCCTGCTTGCCGCAGTATGTATTGATAGAGAAGGTAACTTGTCAGTGTGCCCAACATTTCTTTATTCAACTAGAAAAGCAGATAGAGAAAGCAAGCACTAAGACCGCCTCAGTGAAGTGTCTCCTCTGATTACGTTTATTGTGGTTTCTCAAAGCAGCATTGCATTGTGGGTAAATGGGCACTGGCTGAATACACTTCTTTGTGCTTAAACAAAAGCTTAGGTTGCAGCTCTGTGTCTGACCACTGTGGGAATGCTCACAGAACAGGTGCTGGAAACAGCCAGTGTCATTGGGAGGGCTTCAAACCCCCATCACAGCCTGGGGTTTTGGGTAGGGTAGCATTAATGCAGAACACACTTGGCAAACAGGCAAGACTTCACCAGAAGCTGCCCTTAAGTTGCCAAGGCGATGTGCATTCCTTTATGCAGCTTCCCCTAGCCTGTGCGTATTTGCCTTCAGGACCCTGAACAGGAATGCCAGTGCCTGCAACATATTCTTTACTAATAAAGCATATCTCCAATATTATTATTATGTCATTATATGTATGGTTTAGTCAAGCCCAGCCAAGTAAAGCTTTACTGTCATCTCAGTAACATACAGAACACAGTGATACAAAATAATGTTCCTCCTGAACCCACGGTGCAACATTCATGACAGGACAGTGATAAAAGATGGAGCTTTGGAGTAACACTGGCATATTAGTGCCCGTAAGTACTGTCCATGTTTAACATGCCATTGCAGCAGATTCAGAGAGCTGAAAAACAGAATATTGATGTAATCAATATTCTCCTTGACGTATCCGTGACGCAGTGCTTGCGTGCTTAGGCTCGGTCTTTGGTCAGACAACAGTAGCCCCAGCCAGTCTTTGGACTTATGGCCTCAGCTAATCTGACCAGGGTGAACTTACTGAACCTGGCTGGGGTGGCAAGGCAGCACTGTCCCCCAAGGCTGCACAGTGACACAGTGACTGGGGGCCTAGCTGTGTTTGTTCCAGGTCAGTCACAACATCCCCAGGGCTGCTGTGTGGCAGGTGTTCTTTGACCAAGTCTCCCCCCGCCTCTCTGAGGTGCCTTCAGCCCAGGGCTTGTTTTGACTAAATTCTTATCCATAATAATCCTTCGTCTTCAGTCCTTTTAGTCTTTAAAGCACCCATGCAAAAAGGACAGGCTGTTATAAGCCCTGTTCCAGAAGAATCATGTCCTCCTGCTCTTCCAGCTCACTATGGTAACTGGCAGTGAGGTGCACTTTCAGTGTTAGCCAATCACTCAGATTGTTACTGCATTGTAAATGGGAAGTTTCCATGTGTTTGGTATGTAGACTAGAGGCAAACTTGTGTAGGAGTTTCTATCCTCAGTGGGGCTGGGGCTCTGGAGCTGCCAGCTCTCCTGATCCTGGCGTCTTCCCTCAGCACTCAGAGGTGGGCCCCTGGAAGACCAATATCGGCTCTGCCAGTTCCACTTCCACTGGGGGGAGAGCAACGCCTGGGGCTCGGAGCACACTGTGGACCGCTGCCTCTACCCAGCTGAGGTCTCTGCTTGTTTTTGTGTCTCTGTATTTATGTTGATGTTAGGTGTGATAATGCTTACAGTGTGCTGTGGAGAGGCAGCTAGATGCAGCTGTTTTGCTGCAGAAAGGCGGTGTCCCGACTGCCTGTGTTTTGTGTCCCCACTGCCTGTGTTTTGTGTCCCCACTGCCTGTGTTTTGTGTCCCCACTGCCTGTGTTTTGTGTCCCNACTGCCTGTGTTTTGTGTCCCCACTGCCTGTGTTTTGTGTCCCCACTGCCTGTGTTTTGTGTCCCCACTGCCTGTGTTTTGTGTCCCGACTCTGTTAGGGAGGGCACCCTGTCTTACTGTGATACTAGAATCCCCCAATCACTTCATTGTAGCATTAATCTGCTAGCCGTTTATGGGCCTTTAATCTCCCATAATGTGGGTTTTGTGCATTTCTGTCATGCCCCATTGCTGCCTCCATTTAGCTGACAGCCTTGGCCACTCCTGAGGGAGTCCCTGGATCTAGCCCTCGGAAGGCTGACACAGGGCTTGCTTGTTAGACCGAGTCGTCACCCAGTACGATGTCATCAGGGTCAATACGTAATGAGACGTCCCAGCATGAGACAGCTGCTGAGTGCCTGTACCTGTTTCAGGATACTCACTGAGGTCTGAATAGCCTGTTCATACAGACATCACAAAAACAGACTCACAGCACTGGGGTTTGAGGTGAAGTTTCTCAGTTCAGACACTCCCATCAGAGTCCCTACAGCTGAGGCTATGTGTTGAGGATGAGGGGGGTGCGGCCGGTGGGGGAAAGGCCTCCTCGGCGCCTCTTCACTTGTGCTTTTGCTCGTCTTCCCAAAGCTCCACCTCGTCCACTGGAACTCGGAGAAGTACAGTCTGTTTGAGGAGGCGGTGATGGAGGAGAACGGGCTTGCGGTCATCGGCATCTTTCTGAAGGTGCGAGTCACGCCCTGCCGCCATTGCATAAGCATAAAGCACTCGGCTGCGGTTAATTCTGGGCCTTCAGACGTTGGAGAGAGAGCCCCAGCTCAATGACGACTGGGTCTATTGCATGTGTAATTATGCCAGAATGTCCCAGAAGAGCAATCGGACATTTCTGATCTGGCTCTAGGTGGGGAAGAGACACGACGGTCTGCAGAAACTGGTGGATGCCCTCCCTGCAATCAGGCACAAGGTGGGTTATCAGTGAGCCCTCTCCATATAGTTTTTTCAATCTTGAAATGGATCTTTGCCCCCCTCTAGTGGACAGTGGGGTGAACTGCATGTATTCAGTTTGGAACGTTCTTGATGAGTGATGTTTCACTGAAAAATAAGTAGTACTGCTGCATTAGTTTGTGAGTACAGTGAAATTTTGAGAGGGATGTGTGTTGAAGGAGGGAATTCTGCCTGTGCCATCTGCTCCAGGACAGCGTGGTGGAGTTCACTAGATTTGACCCCGGCTGCCTCCTGCCATCTAACACAGACAACTATTGGACGTATGCAGGCTCCCTGACCACCCCCCCGCTGACGGAGGCCGTCACCTGGATCATCATGAAGCAGCACATCGAAGTCAGTCATGACCAGGTAGCCGTTTGTCCGGGGCTCCTGCGAGATCCGGTTTGTGTGGTCCAGGCCGCATGCAGCTCTAACTCCTTCTCCCCTTCCAGCTGGCGGTGTTCCGGAGCCTTCTGTTTACCTCTGCCGAGGAGGAGGCGCAAAAGAGCATGGTCAACAACTTCCGCTGTCAGCAGCCCCTGAGGGGGCGGACTGTGCGCTCTTCTTTCTCCCCATTCCTCCATGAAGACGTGTCCAGTGAGGCAGCAGGCCGCTGAGTTCTGCCTAGAGCTGCCACTGTCTGCAGGAGGGGGGCTCCTAGTGGTGGGGAATGGTACTGCAGCATAAAAAATGGGCAGGATAATCTTAGGTCAGCGTTTTGGGGGGGCGCATACTACATAATTTATGTATTAATAAGTTGTTCAGCATGGATGCAGTAACTGAACAGCAGTTTTAAAACCAGTCTAGGTGGTTATATTTCAGTATTTCTGACCAAATTTTCATATATATATATATATATATATATATATATATATATATATATATATATATATATATATATATTCCCCCCC